TTCAAGTCTTCGGAAGGGCATGGAATGCCGGTTATGGATCTCCGGAGCGAGGTGAGTCTCCTTTCTAACCTTGTAAGAGGGAATTGTCCCCATAGGTGAAATAAACGGTTATGTGCTCCTATTTGTTGGGGTTGCGTACGCACGGGGTGACGAGAGTCCGTGCGTAGCTACTAATATGTGTAAGTCCGGGTAGTCTAGGACCCAAAAGCATACTATACTTGGAATATCTGTAACCTTATTGACAATTGAATTTCTTAAATCCTACTGAATTGGTAAATGAATTTCTAAAAAGATTAAACTTCATTTTGTTGAATTGTTAAAAGAGAGTTGGCTTTTCTTTGGATAATTATTCCCTGATAAATTCATGATTGACTGATTGTTGTGTTTATTTATATTTGACCGCGTCACATGTATGATTCGCGAGCGGGGTAATAGATGCATCTATGGTTCGGGCCGCTCGACCCTTGGCAGTGCACATTTATATTTATGTTGGATCGGGCCGTACGACCTCGGCATGATTTGCGCATGCTTGTATTGCTGCCTTGAACTTATTAAAGTTGTTATTGCCTCTTCCTGGCTTGAGAATATTTGTATAAAGGACTTAAAGAAATTTGGAGATTTCCGTTAAAAGAAAGAATTATTTACTTGCTTCATTCCATTGAATTACAATCATGTTTATAAAAATCCACGATTTAATGTATTATTGATATCACATTATTGGACCACTAGTAAGTGTCAAAGTCGACCTCTCGTCTTTACTTCTTCGAGATTAGACGGGATACTTACTGAGTACACGTTGTTTTCGTACTCATGCTACACTTGCTGTGCATTTTTGTTGCACAGGCACATATATTTCTAGTGGCCTACTGGGCGTTCCAGCATGATTGATACTGGGACTAGGCGAGCTGCATTACTCGAGATGACCCGCAGCTAGTATACTCTCTTTCAGTGTATTGTATTTACTTTCTGTCCAATTGTATTCCAGACGGATGTTGTATTGTATTGTTTCTTAGAAATAGCTCATGTACCTGTGACACCGGGTTCTGGGGATGCCTATGGGTTTATTCAGAATTTTTAAAAGTTGTCGAAGGTTTCATTTCTTATTCAGCGAAATTTACTATGTATAGTTTAAACGTATAAAAAAAGAGATTTCAGAAATATTTAAAACGAGAATTTAATTAAGTAATTTGGTTGGCTTGCCTGACGGTGGTGTCCGGTGCCATCACGCCCCTAAGTGGATGTTGGGTCGTGACACTGCTAATGGAAACAAAATGGAAGTTGTTATGAAATATTTTTAGAGTTTGATTAATGGAGTACATCTCCTTTTTATTCAAAAGATGAATTTGGGTAGAATGAAATCCAACAGGCTTGCTCAGTCGGGTTTACTCGGTTGAGCGTCGGTCATGCTCCTCGGTTTTGGGGCGTGACAGCGCAGTCTCCTCGGGAACTGGTAGGGACCTGTTCCCTCAGTTGTTCCTTCAAAGAAGAGTTGAATCATATTTTACGTTGAATCCCAACCTGGAATCTTGTGATCTTAAGGTCTTGTAAATGTGTAACAGGTTCCTTGTACGGTTCTGGATAGTAAGTTTGTTAGATCATCAAAACATAAAGTAAAGTACTTATAACCAAAGTACATGTAACCTATCAATGAGGATGCCATGGAAGTTACCTGTCACTTTAGTTCTATCTCCTTCGTTACCTGCCATATAGGTTTTTGTATATATAAAGAAAGAGAAAGATCTTGTGGTTTGTTAGGTTATTGACTCACGTTAGTTGTAGATCTGAAGGAAACTAAAAAATTAGTTAAGAAATCCCCACAGAAGGCGCCAAACTGTTTGACCCAAAAATATATATCTGGATTCAACCAATTAGATTTATATAAATTAGAGTCAATTTTAGCTAATACTTCCTCCGGTCCACAGTAAATGACCAATTTGCTTTTGGCACGCCCATTAAGACAATACTAAATTCTATACAAAAATACCTAGTATGACTAAACTACCCTTAATTAAATATTTAATGTGAGGGGTAAGAAAACTTTTTAGGGATATGTACATAAGGGTAATTTTGTAAAAATAAATTGAATTCTTTCTTGATTATATAAATGGACACTTATTTTTGGACCAAAATAAAAAAAGTAAATTGGTCACTTATTGTAGACCGGAGGGAGTATTCATATCCCAAAGACAAAGTTATCAATTTTATTGCAGATAGTATGTATATTTTATCAAAAGGCAATAAATGTGAGCAATAATAGTATTCAATAATCAAAAAAGGTGGAAGGCAACATTAAATAATAACAAGTACCAATGAATGACCTTTAAGTAAATAAAAACGTGTGAGTCACCCGGAAAGGGGTGGGATCTGCAGATATTCTTTCTGAAAATGATGAATGATTGGTGAACCTTCGAACACCTAGGTTGTTCTTGGATCAAGTAGAAGAGTTAGAGAAGAATCTTAGTAAAAAGGTTGTTTTCGTATGCTTGTAATATGGCCAGACTCTCTCTATAAAGTTAATGTCTTTTCTTACAAGTGAATATCTCATGTCCCCTATCATTGTGTGTTTTTTTATATATATAGGGAACATATTCCTTAAAATCCTAATAATACAGGTGCAGAGAATATCCACTAGAATATTCTTTTTTTTTTTTTTTATCTTAAAACTAGCCCTTATCACTCTATCTGAGATGCTCGACCTCGACCTTGATCTATGACGACTTCACGACTTTGATCTGTGCTGACTCTTCAACCGCGCCCTTCATCCCCCAAGGCCACTTCGGCCTGGGACAGGTCTTTGTTAAAATCTTACTGATAGTACATGGCGGCCGATGAAGGCTATCATAATGCTGACGTGGCCTGCCTATATCGAAGACATTTTTTGGCAATTCTGTTGACACCTTAATTAAACATTAATGTGAAGTAAAAGTAGAAAAATAATTAAGTTATCCTTTGATATAATTGATCAACGACGTAAATTGGACATGAAGTCACAAAATCACATCTTTCTTGGTTCGCACACGGCTTTGTCAAAAGAGGACCATCAACATGCAATTTTCTATAAGCTAATATTCCACCTTTCTCTATAATATATACTTAATTCGCCGTTTTTTTTTTTTTTTTTTTCATTTCCCATCTAAGTAATCAAAAAATAAACTATAATAGTACAATTATTTTAGAGAAGAAAAGGAACAACCACTTGTACTATTTCTTTTTCCTTTTTTATCAACTGAGTAATGAACTCTAACTTCAAGATAGGAGAGCAGGCCAGAATTTGTCGTTTCTACATCAATATCCGTTTTGCTGGGTAATTGGAGCAGCCCCAGGATCCGGCAACCCCCAAAAAAGGACACTCACGGTCAAATTAGCCGTTTTCACCTCTTTGGTAAAACCTGACACAGAATCGAGTGCAATAAGTAACCAGATCTCGCGACCTTCCAAATCCCTGCTTGTCACGTTACCGCATGCACTCCCACTTAAACAGTTTATGTTAGTAATTATAAACTTCGACTTCCTCTTGTGAAAAAAAAAAAAAAAAAAAAAACTTATCTATTTTACTCTTTCACTCTATTCGCCTAGGCTCAGTTTGTCCATAAAAAGTTTTTCTTTTTTTTTCAAAAATATATATATTCATGAAATTTTATAAGTTTTTTAAAAAATTTCGAAAATGAGTTTTTCAAAATTTCAAATATTTTTAGAATTTTTTTCCTCACTCAGAAAACTGCAATATTTTTTCAAGTGAAATGTATGTCCAAACATAATTTTAAATTCCAACTACCATTTTTCAACTTAACTACAAAATACTACTTTTTTCAAAAATTATGATTTTTATGTCCAAACACCTACTTAGTTAATATGATATATTTTTATTTTTAGTCCGTTCAAAATAATCATAATTTTTTTTCTAACAATAGTGTAACATAAAACTTTTTCTTTTTTCCTTAATGAGTGAGGGTCTATGATTTTATTTTATACCAAAAGCTTCAAAATTAATTTTTCTTTATTAAATTTCATGTTTAGTCGAATACTACTACATAAAATAGAATTAATGGGGTAATTGTTTAAATATAAAAATATTATAATCACATTGAGGAAAATAAATTAGAAAGAATTTTAAAAAAAGGCTCCAACAAAAATAATGACTGAGTACTCCGTCTTTCCTATCATACTCTTTTCTTTTTAGTTTTTTTTTTTAAAATTAATTTTAATTTTTATTAGAATAATTTAAAAGACCTCCAATCATGGTATGCTCCATCAGAATAATCTCCCTTGTGATTTATAAGATTACCCTTAACTCCCTATTTTAATTTTTTTCGTAACGATTCCTTTTATTCATTTTTATTAGTATGAATGAAATATAACTTTTTTAACCAATCAGCTCTCCCAATTTTTTCAATTTGACCCTCTTTTTGGTTGCTTCTTCACACAAAGCATCACCATTCACAAATTCACTATCATCATTGTCTAGCAAAAGAAAAAAGACATCACAATTTGATTGTCACCACTTTGTTTAAATAATATTTTTTAAAAGAATGACTTTCTTTTTAATAGTTGATGTCCAAATATATAATCCAACATGAAGAGTTGGGGTCTATTAGTAGGGTATATAAGAATAGTGCGAAATAAGTTGTATTAGTAATGCAGGATTAGTAATGAATGAGTTAGTATTGCAGATATTATTTCTTATCTATTGTTTGGTGTGGTGTATTAAAAAATATAATGCATTGCATAATTTTTAAGAAAAAGTTATTTATAAAAACGTCCTCCATATTATCTAGCTTTAAGAGACTTTAAGGATAATTTTGTCTTTAACCACTAATGAAGCATTAATAGCCTTGGTATTACTAATGTCATAATTTTTTATACATTACTTATACATAGGATAATACCAAATATAATGTATAACTAATATAAGTAAAAAAAATACAAACAAGGTATTGTATTAGTATTTGCGGCGAAGGGAGAGTATTTTAGTTTACAACTTATTGTAACCCCATCGGTTACATTAGCAGATGCATCATCTTTTCTTTCTTCCAACCTCTCACCACCTTCAAGCTTATTTTATTTCATCCTTATATTATTTCTTTAATCCTTCCATTGTCCTTCTCTCCAATTTCTTACGTTTGAAGCGCACCAACAAAAATGGTGAATGGGGACCTCTCTTCATTTCTCTCTCTCTCTCTATTCAATAGCCTTGGTTTCTTCTTCTAGTTCTCCCAGTTCCTTTCATTTCTTCCACTTACTTTTGCTTTTCTCTTCAGTTACAAGTGTTTTTTTTAAACTATGGAGGAGCGGAACGTGAATCCAGAGGTGATATACGACACCGTATGGGTGTGCGTGATACCGTACGTACAGAACTCGCGTGACAGGGACGCGGTGTCGTTGGTATGCAGGAGGTGGCACGAGATCGACACGATCACTCGGCAGCACATAACTATGGCTTTGTGTTATGCAGCGAAGCCGGAGCAGCTTTCTAGAAGGTTCCCTCAACTGGAGTCACTCAAGCTCAAGGGGAAGCCACGCGCTTCTATGTTTAATTTGATTCCTGAGGATTGGGGAGGATATGCTACGCCTTGGGTTCACGAGATTAGTAGGTCCTTTACTCGGTTAAAGGCGCTTCACTTCCGCCGTATGATAGTTAGCGATTCGGATCTCGAACTGCTCGCGCGTACGCGTGGTAAACTACTTCAGTCTCTCAAACTGGATAAGTGTTCTGGATTTTCTACGGATGGCCTTCTCACTGTTTCTCGTTCCTGCAGGTATTCCACCTCTTCTTCCGTTGACTCCATTTTTACTTGTTGGTAATTACTCTGTTAAGATTAAGTTTTGTTCCCTGAAATTATAAATTTATTGTTTTTCGACATAGAAATAAGTTTCTTTTTTTTTTTCCAGTTCTGTTCTATTTATTTTTTTTATGTAAAATTATTCTCTAGTTTTAACGCCTGAAGTTATTGTCGCTTTTATTTCAAGCTGTTGAAGTCTTCAAATGTCGGTGAGGATTCAATTGCTTGCAAGCTAGTTTGTATGGTAGTGGAAGTGAATTTTTAAGATTAGGAAAAGGTAAAACTATAAAAAAAACCAGAGGACTTTCATTGTATTCTGTAGGATTTTGTGTTGATAAAGAGAGGAAGGAATCATGCAACAAATTAGGTTATAGGTATCACTATAACAAAAGAAAAAATAAGAAAAAGGAAGGTATCAATATGCACAAATCCAATTCAAACTTGATTGCATATGCAGATTGATTAGGACAGTTGGTCTATTGCACACATGGTGAAGCATGACAGTTATGAATCTGGTTTCAATGTGATATGGTTCGGAATGCTTGAAGCTTTTGATTTACTGGTGCTATTGGGCTTACTTCTTTTCCTTTTTCCAGTTTAAGAGAGTCTATCTTTTGCATATGTTTGCCTAGAAGTATACTATTCAAGTTCATTGCTCACTGGTTTAACCAAAACTTTTAGGTGATGGGCTCCATGGTTCTCGGGATCTAGTTTCTAAAATTGTGTATATTGCTATGGTTTCCATGTCAGTGTTAGAAGAATTAAATTATCTTGTGATTCTGAGTGGGTTAGAGTTTGAAAGAGGTATTTCTTTGGACTGTTCATGGTGACTGGAATTTATGTTAATGAAATTTCCAAGGTTCTCTCTAGAAGTCATTTGGACCCATTGGATCATGTAGGTTTCCTCAACAATCATTTTTATTGGTAGTTCTTGGTAACGATGACTTGAATCTGTTTTCCTAGCGCTGTCTGATTGTGCTAAGTCATTGGCCTCTGATATGGAGGAAAAAATGTCTTTAAGTTTTAGTGATTCCGTTGATGCTACATTTAATAAAGATTGGGCTGGTGATATGCTTGTGAACGAAGTAGAGTCTATGCAAAATTTCGTTGTCACTGCATCTGGTCAAGGCTTAAGCATTGACCTGGCATGTCAACCCTTGTGGTGGGACGTGTTGTAAGCATTCCTATGTGTGTTAATCTCTAAGTTTGTAGCATACAGCATGAGTTAAAGGTAAGCTCATGACTAAAAGCTTGAACTAGTTTTTTGCTCGACGATATTCCTTCTTCTGATAGATGCAGAGGGCCTTGTAGTGTGACTGAAGCTATAGGTCTAATTGGATAAGTGGTCCAAATTGGCCTATTGGCGAGTTGCCAGCATCTTTGCACTAACGGGTTATGTGATGCACCTGCTTTATTTTGAAGCTTTATTGACATTCCCTCTAAGTAAGCTTTATTTACCTAATAGAGGAGATATTGAATAATTGCTTATTTGAGGACTGCATTAAACAAGAGAGAATTGTGAACGGAAATCAACATCTCTCTCTGTTTCCTTATACTACACTCCTTTAGAGGTTTTAATCTTTTGCTAGACCTGTCATGCCGCTCAAAGAATTTCTTAGGAGTGTTATGACAAGCTTAGTTGTGCATTCAATTTTGTTGCCTTTTTGTCTATGTGGTTCTCATGTAGCCCTTTTATCCTGCAGGAGTTTAAAAACGTTTTTTCTGGAAGAGAGTACTATAGTTGAGAATGATGGAGAATGGATACATGAAGTAGCCTTGAACAATACAGTTCTTGAAAATCTGAACTTTTACCAGACTTATCTTGGCAGAGTGAATGCTGAAGACCTTGAACTGATAGCAAAAAACTGTCCCTCTCTTGTCTCGGTAAAAATTAGTGAATGTGATATTTCAAATCTTATTGGTTTCTTCAAAGCTGCAGTTGCATTGGAGGAATTCGGTGGGGGTTCATTTAGTGAGCCAACAGAACCTGCTGCTGAGAATGGCTATAACGAGCAACTGGGAAGATATTCTGCTGTATCATTTCCTCAAAGATTATGCCACTTGGGTCCGACGTACTTAGGAATAAATGAAATGCACATTCTCTTTCCTATTGCTTCTCGTTTGAAGAAATTGGATCTTCTTTATGCATTTCTTGACACGGAAGCCCATTGTTTCTTACTGCAAAAGTGTCCCAACTTGGAAATACTTGAGGTTGAATCTCAGCTCTTCTCACTTTTCTTTTCTTCTACCCAAATTGGCCATATATCTTTGTACATAGGTGTTATTGACACTGGCACTATTGTTCTGCTTTTGCTGTGAAATCAGGAAGTGAATATTTGATGAAGATGGACATTATGTTTTGCTTTTCCTTTTTGGATCAATTTTTGTCTAAAATATGTCACAGCTATTCTGCTTGGTTGGCTGTAGATGTTTGAAAGCATATTCTATAATTGATTGACTTCCATGAGTCTAGTATATATTTCTATGTATGTTTGTACAATTCTGTTTAATCTGTATATATAAGTATATTCACATTTTTTAAATTCTTTTTTGTTCTTAGTAAAATAACTGCTTGTAATTTTTATGGTTCTACATCAGAAATGTGACCTGCATTTCTCTGAAAAACGATAAAGAAAATCGAGATGGGAGGAAGGAGTTATGGCTGGAGTTAAAAAAAATTTTATGGCTGGAGTAAATAAGTCTATGTGGGGTAATCTTTAAGAAAATTATTTATCAGTGTTTTTGTCATTGTGAACAGGCAAGGAATGTTGTTGGGGATAGAGGAGTGGAAGTGCTTGCCCAGTTTTGCAAGAGATTAAAGAGACTCAGGATTGAGCGAGGAGCAGATGAACAGGAAATGGAGGACGAAGAAGGTGCAGTTACACAGAGAGGATTGATTGCTTTGGCCCAAGGGTGCATTGAACTAGAATACATGGCTGTTTATGTGTCTGATATTACTAATGAAGCATTGGAAAATATTGGCACAAATCTGAAAAATCTGTGTGATTTTCGGTTGGTTCTACTCGATCGTGAAGTAACAATAACAGAACTGCCACTTGATAATGGTGTCCGCTCTTTACTAAGAGGTTGCCAAAGGCTTAGAAGGTTTGCTCTCTATCTCAGGTCTGGGGGTCTCACAGATGTGGGTCTGAAATATATCGGTCAATACAGCCAAAATGTGAGATGGATGCTTCTGGGATATGTTGGGGAATCTGATGAAGGACTTATGGAGTTCTCGAGGGGATGTCCTAGCCTGCAAAAGCTAGAAATGAGAGGCTGTCGTTTTACTGAACGTGCATTGGCTTATGCTGCTTTGCAGCTGAAATCGCTAAGGTACTTGTGGATCCAAGGATTCAGTCCATCTTCGAGTGGTTGGGATCTCTTGATGATGGCTCGCCCATTCTGGAATATTGAGTTGATACCTGCAAGACGAGTGATTACCAGTGCAGGAATTGCTGAGCATCCAGCTCATATACTTGCCTATTATTCCCTTGCAGGCCGAAGAACAGATTTTCCAGATACTGTTTGGCCTTTGGACCCATAGTTGCTTCTTGCTGAATAAACTTGTAAATATAACCTTAGCTTTTTCTTGTGGGATGATGGGTTCGGGTGGGCTTTAGAGGTTTATATGCTCCTTTTTAGGTGTCCTCTCCATACATAGGTCTCTTCCTTCTTTCTTCTTTTTTTATTTAGAATATTGATTTTGTTGTCTGTCTTTTAGACATGGGGATTGTAATAAGTTCTCTTTTCATGGTTATTCGGAAGAATCTGCCACTTGGTTCTATACCTTTCTAACTGCGGACTGTGTCTTGCTCTTTGAGTGAATATAGTTTTTACAGAAATCAGTGACATGTAAAAGTAGTAGTGAAATTTGACTATGCCCTTTGCGCTCAATTATTTCCGTTGTGGCTTGTCAACTGGTTGGTTCACTGTACATATGAACTCGTCAAATGTTACCATCCTTTTGACATTGTTGTAATTAATTGGTGGTGGATTATCACAACAACACTCGGCGAAGAAGAAAAACAGTTTATGAGGTTTCTGGAAACCATCAATATGGCACTTGCTACATTTATCCTTTTATTTTCATTTTTTACATGTTCAAATCAGGGCCATAAACTGGAGGTCTAAATGTTACTATTATGCATTATGATGACCTCCCTCTCTCTTTCTCTCTCGGTTTAATTTAAGGAGATTTGTAGTTACCAATAGTTAATTCTACTGAAGAAAGGAGGTATCAGAGAATACAAATTTCAGTTTGTTGGAGTTGAACCAGAAAATCTATCAGTCGTTTACTAGTCTACTTTGTTACGCGCAATATCTTTTTATCTATCCATGTAATTGAACTGGAACCAAATATCAAGTCGTGATATTATTATAGTGCTTCTCAGAAGCTGCACTATTTAAGAGGTTCTGGTATTCACAAATCAAAATTATTGTCTAAAATGTACTAAGAAGCCCAGTCATCAAACGTAGTTTGTCAAAAAAGATCTAGCCCAATCCAATTCTAAAATTCCATCTCTTCTGTTTTGCTCCTTTTCATATTACTCTTTTTCCATTATATATAAACCTGATTGACTTGACATGAAGTTTAGGAAATAAATGAAATCTTTTGATACTTGTAATCTTAAATATGTAATAATATTTGTGTGGCTAATAAAACTTATCATTAAGGATAAAATATAGATTTTGCTTAACTGGTTTTCAAATTCAAAAAGAGATTATTCTTTTTAAACAGATAAAAAAAAGAAATGGAAACAAAAAATAAAAATAAAGTCAAATAAACTGAAACACAGAAAATAAGTACTATTATATAATTAATACTCCAATGTTGGGAACAAAGACATAAAGAGCACACGACAATTAGGGAGTGATCGTCGCGAAAATCTTGAAAATGAATACATGTAGATCAAAAGAGGGAAGCACCAAAGACTTTAGCTGTGTTTTTCCAGTTTTCTATTCGAATTTAGCTTGTATAGACCCGGGGCGGCTCAAGCGCACGTGGGACCTAAGGCGAAAGTTTAATATGGGGCCTAAATATTTATAAGAACGTTATAATATATATTTTTATTTAAAATGTATTCTTCTAGCTTTTTGAGATGCAAAATTGTTAATAATTTTTTTATAATCGATTTTTTCTAATAATTCCTTTTCAATTGATAATCTACCCAAGCAATTTAATCTTTCTTGAGACATTGTTGATCTTAGGTAAGATTTTATCAATTTTAATTTTGATAAACTTATTTCTGCTGAAGCAACTGTTATAGGAACTGTTAACTTTATTCTATAAGCAATATAAGCATTTGGAAAGGAATCAAGTCTTTTTATTTGATTGAGTATATCGATTAGAGTATTATCTTCTACTTGTACTATTTCTCTTAACACTTTTAATTCGGAAAATAGTCTAAACCATCAATATCAGAGTGACCGTTATGTTTTAAGGAACATTCAAGGTTAAAAACTAAGCAATATGTATGGAGTAAAATTAATAAAATAATAAATAACAAATGAAAATAATACTAGAAAATTAGAATGATATTACCCAATGACTGATTCAAGAAGTTTGAAAACTTTTATTCCAAAATATCTAATTGTTGGTTTGTAGGAGAAAGAAAAAAATCTAGCAAAAAGAAGATGAGCATGAATAAAGAGAAAGGAAGAAGATATGTCTCATAAATGAAATATCAAATATGAGGAGTGAAACGAAACTTAACGTTGTGATTTACCTGGGAAGAAGAGTAAAAAATAAAATTGTCAAATCAAATCAAATTGAAAACTATTTTTCTACTACTATTTTTAAGTAAGTCAAATCTTTACTGTATTAATATATCCAAAAGATTTTATTTCCTTTTATATGGAAAGTACAAAAGTATTATATATATATATATATATATATATATATATATATATATATATATATATATATATTATTCCTAAAATATGGGGCCCCCCAAAATTGAGGGCCTAAAGTACTTGCTTACCCCATTAGAGCCGGCCCTATATAGACTTATATATATATATATTATTCCTAAAATATGGGGCCCCCCAAAATTGAGGGCCTAAAGTACTTGCTTACCCCATTAGAGCCGGCCCTATATAGACTTATAGCCTGTTTGGCCAAGCTTCTTTTTGGCCAAAAGTGCTTTTTTTGGGCCAAAAATTGAGGTGTTTGGCCAAGCTTTTGGAAGGAAAAAAAGTGCTTTTGAGGAGAAGCAAAAAAAAGTAGCTTCTCTCCAAAAGCACTTTTTTGAGAAGCACTTTTGAGAAAAATACACTTAGAAGCAGTTTTTTAAAGCTTGGCCAAACACTAATTGCTGCTCAGAAGTACTTTTCAAACTAATTAGCCAAACACAAACTGCTTCTCACCAAAAGTACTTCTGAGAAAAGCACTTTTGAAAAAAAGCACTTCTCAAAATAAGCTGATTTTTGCAGCTTGGCCAAACGGACTATTATAGTGGAAATTTCACTGGCAGTTTTTACTTATTAAAGCAGGTCATTTACTTTATTTTCTAGTTGACCACGTTACACTTATTCTATATAGTTGTTATTTTCACTTTAAGTTGATCCTTTCATCAGAAGTTAAACTCTTCTCTTCTAGTCTTTTAGTAACACTAGTATCTATGAACGCACGTTGCACGTCACATGATAATTTAAATATTTATTTATATAAAGAAATAATAAAATTTAATTAATGAGAGAAATTATATGTTTAATAACATAACAATCTTCTAAATGCCGAAAAATATTGTTACATTAGCATAATACATGAATTTAAAACAAAAGAACATCATCAAAACTTACACAAATGATTCATTTTGTCATGTTAGTTAGATAATTATGTATTACAGTGTAAAAGTATTTAATGTGATGGTATCTTAACGAACACTTCTTTGTGGACAATTTCTTTTGTGTATGTTTCCTCCTAATGATTCGGTTGCTCTACCTTAACTAGAACTCTTGTTGTGGATCTTGATATCCCTCTTGAAAGGGCAATATACAGTTGTTCGTGCAAGAAAATATATTGCAGTAAATATAGTCCAATATTTAAGTTTTTGTCCTTGTGCTTTATTTATTATATTTTCAAAACATAAACATACTAAAAATTATTTTCACACAAATTTAAAAGGATATTCTTTAGTTTTGGAAGGCGAAATAATTATAAGCACATTGACCGGTATTATAAGTTTTGCATGTATGACGTTATTGTCAAAACATCCATATACCTCTGTGTGCTATTACATAAGCTATTCGGTGTATCTAAGTTTTTTAGTAGCATGATGAGCATATTTTTCTTCAAAATTAACCTTTATTCAGTGGAAGATCAGTTTTAACTTAGTCTATTATATATATGGTGACAGGAACATACGTAAGAAATAATAAACTTGACTACAAACATGTATAGTAGAAGGCCATTTGATATTAAAGTATTTATGTATTCTTCTTGGCAGTAATTATTGGTATCATTTTCTGCCGAGTCAAGCTGAAAAATATTTTATTTTACTATAAAATTTTGCGATCAACCTTTTATTTAGTTGATCAATATATTCATTTCTATCAGCTAAGATATCTTTTTAATTCTATCGTGCGATTTGCACAAATTGCGTTTTAATCTAATGATAGAAATATTTATCTTATTAAATGCACTACCATTACCATTGGGATTGATAACCAAGAGTTCAGGAAGAACCAAATCATCTTTTATTGGATGCTCTTTTTCGTTTCCGACACGAAGCAAGAAGACACTGAATACTGGATCTGTTCTTACTTTATATTTCTTATCAGTTGAATCCTTTTTATTTGAGGCCAGAAGTATAACTTTGGCAAGATGACTTTTACAGTCTCTGCTTTTGTCGATTTTGGAACTACTAGTAGTGTTTGGCAGAAATCACCTTCCAAACCATCAATTTTTTACCAAACGGTACATTAATATCCATTATATCTCTAGAACTTCGGGCAATTATTTCGATCGTTTGACACTTAGCCATAAGTTCTTCATCCATATTATCAATTTTGCTTTCCTTATAAATTTAGTATCATTTCTCTACTTTGATATATTTGCGATGGTTATTTAAGTTATTTGAAGAGGTATATCAAATCTAAAGTGAGTGGCCTCACAATAAAATTGTTGTTGGTAGCTATATTGTTGATAGTGTCTTGCCTCTTAATTTGATATTTGCAAGTAATGCATGACATAAAAATATTATTTCGATTCTTCCGGTGGCATCTACAAAGAAAAATCTCGTTATACCAGAGTCGACTCTTTATAATATAGTCTTGAAAGCTTATTTTTAATTAGGATTTAGCTTTGATTGTGCTTCCTCAGACACTTGTATAGCATTTTGATTCTTAATAATATACTATCCTTTTACTTTGTCTTCTAACGCTCTTTTTATGGAATAAATTTATGTACCCTAAGATTTTTTTTAACTTGAATAAGAATTTTACTCATATGATGAATTTTAAAAAAAAATAATGGATTCTCTTGCTAAATAATTAATTAAAAGATTTAATTATTTGATTTTAACATAAAAAAATAATTTATTTTATGTTGATTCAGATCTTAATATTAGTTCATCTCTTGTTTTGAATATATAATCTTAATTATAATTTTATCCACCATAAATTTTATTTTCAAAGAGTTAAACATTGATACTCCCTCCGTTCCGATTATGTGAACCTGTTTGACTGGGCGCGGTGTTTAAGAAAAAATAAAGACTTTTGGAATTTGTGGTCCGAAACAAGTCAAAAAGGGGCCCATAGTATTTGTGTAATTATAAAAGCTTCTCATTAAGGATATA